AATAAGGGGTTTCCGAGGAGAACACCGAAACTAGGCACGGTCCACTGCTCGGCTTTTCGGTGTGCGCCCGGTTAGGCGGGACCCCAAGTTTTCCCGTGGCCGTGTCGCAATTAAAGAGGCCGTGTTTTTCCGGAACTGTCTGATCCCGGATTAAGGTCGAAAGCGGTGGACGCCGGATCAAAACATAACCGTGAGTCACGAACTTCGCACCACGAGTTGAACGCCGCGTCTTCTGCGCCGCGGAAAGCAATTCGGCGGCTCTCTGTCCCCGAATCTGGCAAAATAATAACCGTACAGTGCAGGGGTGTCAAACTCGCGGCCCGAGATGAACATTTTTGATGTCAAGTTTCAGGACGTAAACAATAATTTAACTTTATATATATATGTTTTATATATGTTTATATATATAATATATATAATATAATAATATATATATATATATATATATATATTATATATTAATTAATTATATTATTATATATTATATATTAATTATTATATAATATATATATAATAATATATATAATAATATATATAAAACATATAACTTTATTTATGTTTATATCAAAATAAAAATATTTGTTTCTATGAGCATTGTTTTTTTTTGCGGCCCACCTAAAGTTAAGCATTGTTTATTTATTATTATGGCCCAAGTTAGCTTTTGAGTTTGAAATTCGGTGTTCAGGTGGAGTACGAAAAGAGCTCGGAGATTGTCAGGCTACTGTTAAGCGTTATTACGAGATCATTTTTCCGTTGTAATCGCGAATTACGTTCGCGACTTACGTTCTATAACATGATTAAATTTACTCGCACATTATTACGATATGATTTTTCTGTTGTAATCGCGAATTACGTTCGCGACTTACGTTTTATAACACGATTAAATTTACTGAAACATTATTACGATATCAGCTATAATTAGATAGCGCATTTTTATGTGTAATAAAAATTGTCTGCATCAATGGCAAGGAACAGAAACTAAGTAGCAGCTTCTTTCTTTCTTTAATCATCTTAATAAATTCAAGATAATACGTCGACTTTTTAAAGTGCTTTTCATTTTCACACTATTTTCAATTTAAAATCTACCCAAATGCATATAAATGCCCATAAATGCATAAAAATTGCAATTTAGTTGTAACATACGCTTGGATAAAGATGTTTATCAAAAGATCTCTCACAGAAGTATCCTTAAAATTCGATTGATCGCGAAAAGATCAAAATTAAATCTTGAGCCTGATCTGCGTTTAAAATGAACAAAAATTGAACTTGATGTAAACATACCGATTTCCCAAATTGAAGTTCAACCATCTCATGAAATATTACAATTTGATTTGCCTTACATCGTTTATTCCTAATATTTTAGATTATCTTTATTTCTTCAATTTTTTTTTTCTAAAGAATACAAATATTCGGTACAAATTATGTACCTACAAAGTGCTGTAACGGTACATGATTTAACACTTTGCAGTCAGAGACATTTTAACTCGAAATTCAAAATAGTTTCTTCGACCCATAGTATTTTATATAGCTTAATGCACTTTATACGTATAAAACTGCATTTTGCGACTCACGCAACAGTTACACTTTTAGCAGACAAACCGATTTGATAATGTTAAAATTGTTTTGTAATGCGATATTATTTTATTTTTATTATATTATATATATTATTTATTATATTATATTTTATTTTTATTATATATTAATGGCGCCGTAGAGTCGACACTCGAGTGCAAAGGGTTAATCGCATACTGATTGGCTGAGTGGTTCAGGAAGGTTTGAGAACCACTGATATAGAGTATTCCGCAGTGAAAGGGTTGAAAGAACTAGCGCCACAAAAATACGATCCGCAAGGAATAACCGAAACAGTCGTACTTTTATGTGTCTATAAATGATCTCCCAACGATGACAGATCGCAAGTTTGCGTCGGCGGTGGTAGAGCACGAGGACGCAACAAATTGCTATCGGCTTCGATGACGAGCTATCGTTGGCACTATCGCGTGCATCGAAACCTCGACAGCAGGAAACGCTCGAGCGTTTGGCAGCGTTCGATAAAGGCAGCGTGGGAGGGCTGTCGGTGTGACACTCGCGGCGCTTCCCTCTCGACAGCAACCCCTGAAAGGTAGTCGGCTTATCTAGATCGCGAGTGGGCGGAGGGTGCGCGCCAGGTGAAGGACTTCCTTTAAACGCGGCTGGGAATTAAGGGGGCAGATCCATCGGCGGGAAAAAAATAGGGGACGAATAATATTGCAGTGGGGACTCGGAATTGAACGATCTTCGAGCACCGTCCCCTAATTCCGCGTGGCAACCTCGCGTTTTGATTTATGCCGAGAGATTACTCGGTCGCGGCAGACTCTTCGAATACTACTCGCCCGTTTCCATTAACAGCCTAAGCCTCTGTTATCTATCTTACGAAGAATGCCGAGCTGCGATTGCGTCGATTTCTATATTTACAGTAATGCTTCTCTAATTGACGCTCAGATTTTCCACAGAAGTGGACAATTTGGGAAGAGGAGATACGATTATTCGATCATTCGATAACAACAAAAACGAGCCGCAAGACTCGAACAATCGTATCTCCTCTTCCCAAATTGAAGTAATTTTTCCCTAATTCGCGCTCAGATTACGCACGAAAAAATGGACAATTTGGGCAGAGGAGATACGATCATTTGATAACAATAAAAACGAGCCGTAAGGCTCGAATAATCGTATCTTCTCTCTCTCTCTTCCCAAATTGAAGTAATTTTTCCCTAATTCGCGCTCAGATTGCGCACGCAAAAATGGACAATTTGGGCAGAGGAGATACGATCATTTGATAACAATAAAAACGAGCCGTAAGGCTCGAATAATCGTATCTTCTCTCTCTCTCTTCCCAAATTGAAGTAATTTTTCCCTAATTCGCGCTCAGATTACGCACGAAAAAATGGACAATTTGGGCAGAGGAGATACGATCATTTGATAACAATAAAAACGAGCCGCACGGCTCGAACAATCGTATCTCCTCTTCCCAAATTAAAGTAATTTCTCCCTAATTCGCGCTCAGATTACGCACGAAAAAATGGACAATTTGGGAAGAGGAGATACGATCATTTGATAACAATAAAAACGAGTCGCAAGGCTCGAATAATCGTATCTTCTCTTCCCAAATTGAAGTAATTTCTTCCCGAATTAGGGAGAAATTACTGTATTTGACGGTACGTAGTGTACTCTACTTCGTGCATATTCGCATTGTTTTGGAAGAAGAGACTGTTGCGTGATTTTTTGTATTTCTGACAAAAACGAGCAGATCGTATGCAAAACGTTGAAAACATTTGAAGGATTTTTAAATGCTTTCGTGTTACGTTCAACTCGTCAAAATGATCAGAAAAGGAAATGCAGTCGATTCTAGTTTTATACGGTATTTTTGTACACGATATTGATTCAACACGATCTAGAAAAATTAATTCAACTTCCTTTTTACACGGTTTCATTCGACTTAGCACGGTTAAAAAAGTAATTTGATGTTTTAAGAACAATTATTTCCATTAACCGTAATTTATAGATACGTTTAGATACATACTTATTTTATTAATTAACAATCATCTATATTTCCATGTACGTGCGCGATGTCTTTCTTTCTACACGATATTTGTTCGCTCGGATTTTTCTGGAGCGTATCTCTACCGCGTGAAATTCTATTCTGCATAAAAATCCGCGGTCGAGTGACGATATTTTAGTTTGATTTCACTAGAGTTACTAATGTTAGACTTTTATTTAGGGAAATCAAACGAAGTAAATCGAGGTGGTAATTTCAGGTGAGACACACTATACATACATATGTATATTGTAAAGTGTGCTAGAACCGAGAGCTTTTTAAAAATACATTCCGTAAAGCTAATTTACGGCTTGTCCCGCTTGCTAGACACTTTAGCAGCCTCTAAATTATCACCTTCAAAATAGTTCTAAGAAGTTCTAACTGAAACGACAATTTTTACGCGAACTTCAATTTTTCTACCGTGATTTGTGAATATTAAAATTCGTTGCGAAATTGAAGAATCATTGTGACGAAAATGAATTCAGAATCTTATTGATTCTTGTTGATATGTACAGTAATGTCTCTCTAATTGACGCTCAGATTGCCCATAAAAATGGACAATTTAGGAAGAGGAGATGCGGTTATTCGATCCTCGCGGTCCATTTTTATAGTTACGAATTGTCAACAACTATAAAAACGAGCTGCAAGGCTCGAATAATCGTATCTCCTCTTCCCAAATTGTCCATTTTTGTGCACAATCTGAGCGTCAGTTAGGAAGACATTACTGTAATTCTTTCGTTCGCTAAGAATTTCGAATTTTTGCGTAAGAACGTGTCGTCGAATAAAGGTGTTTCTCAAAAGCACACGCTATAGAACGTTGTTCGATCCATTGAAAAATGCAGCAGCGAAAGTTCTCGTCCGCGAAGGGTTAATATGAAATGTTTCTGTGCGAAGCAACGATCGTAGACAGGCTCGAGCAAACAATCTCTGCTTCGGAACTTAGAGTTCCGTCGCTGCGGTAAGCCTCATTAAAAAGTTAGCCGAGATTAGCCGGAAAGTTCTCTCCATCCTCTAAATAAAAGCGCAACCGAAGCCGGGGACCTGGAAGCTCGCGGAAGCTGAGAGGTCCGCAGCCGGGAAGCCAGGTTCGTCTAGGAAGAAGTTAAAAAGGTCGGAAGTTAGGAACCGAAAGATGCAGGAAGTCGGGGGTAGACGATTAGATTTCGAAAACCGTGGCCTGAAAATAAAGAAGAGAAGCTAAACTCCCGATATCCCCGTGACATAGCACAGCAGTAGACTCCCTCCGAAATCCCGGCGATATCCCCGTCGGAATTGCTTCTCGGCGCCTTACTCCCGAAAGCCTTCGGGCACGGTGATCCTCCCGGGTCCCCGGCGTTGGTCGGCATCCCCTAAGATCGGCGACGCGTGAGAAACGCGAGAGGAAGCCGTTCTGGTGTCGCTTCTCTGACGGGCTCTGTTTCTTTCGCAGCAACTGAAAGATGAGCTGGGCGAGGTGGTGGCCGAGATGGAGGCGATGGAGGGCGGAGGTCTCGCCGCCGACGAGACCAAGCCGTCGAACAAGGCGAAGCAGACGTCGATCGGCCGCAAGAAGTTCAACATGGACCCGAAGAAGGGCATCGAGTACCTGATCGAGCACAACCTACTGGCGCCGACCCCGGAGGACGTCGCGCAGTTCCTCTACAAGGGCGAGGGCCTGAACAAGACCGCGATCGGCGACTACCTCGGCGAGAGGCACGACTTCAACGAGAGGGTCCTCAGAGCGTTCGTCGAGCTGCACGACTTCACGGACCTGATCCTGGTACAGGCGCTCAGACAGTTCCTCTGGTCGTTCAGGCTGCCCGGCGAGGCCCAGAAGATCGACAGGATGATGGAATGCTTCGCCCAGAGGTACTGCCAGCTGAACCCGAACATCTTCACCAACACGGACACCTGTTACGTCCTCAGCTTCGCCATCATCATGCTGAACACGTCGCTGCACAATCCCAGCGTCAAGGATAAGCCCAGCGTCGAACAGTTCATCTCCATGAACAGGGGCATCAACAACGGCGGCGACCTGCCTCGCGAGCTCCTCGTGGTGAGTACCACCCCCCTATTTGCTGCCCAATCCTTTCGACTGGAAGATGACTCCGGCAATGTGGATCTTTGTGCACGTCGACGATGTTTGAACGGGAAGATGACCAGGCCGAACATCTTTCTGCTCAATGACAGTCTTTGAACTGGAAGATGACTAGGCTGGAGATCTTTGTGCTCAATGACAATCTTTGAAATGGAAGATGACTAGATTACAGATCTTTGTGCTCATTGACAATCTTTGAAATGGAAGATGACTAGGCTGGAGATCTTTCTGCTCAATGACAGTCTTTGAACTGGAAGATGACTAGGCTGGAGATCTTTCTGCTCAATGACAGTCTTTGAACTGGAAGATGACTAGGCTGGAGATCTTCGTGCTCGATAACAATCTTTTGAACTAGAATATTTCTGAACCGTGGATCTTTTTGCTCCATGAAAATCATTAAACTGGACGATGACTAGATTACAGATCTTCGTGCTCAATGACAATCTTTGAACTAGAATATTAATAGACTGTGAATCCTTGTGCTCAGAGATGATCTTTCAATTAGGAAATTACTAGGATCTTTGCTCAAAATTAAAACAATTTCAAACAACTTAATTTCGTGTCTTAATCGAGTTATAGAATACAGGAAACATTTTTCAAGTAAATTGTGTTGAATATACAGGGTGTCCCAAAAATGTCTTGCAATCTGGAAATGGCGGGTTCCTCGGATCATTTGAAGCAACTACTTCCTTTACAAAAATTTTCTCCGAGGCACCGTTAACGAGTTATTAACGAAAAACAGTGATCAAAAAAGAAAAAGAAACTAAAAAAGAATCGAATACGGCTGACGCGAGGCGGCCTAGCCAACCAGCGCACGAAGCCCAGTCCCGCTCATTGGCTCGGTCACCTCGTACCAGCTGAGCTGGGATTCGACCGCCACGACCGCTGGCGTTGTTGACTCGGTCGCCTCGACCGCTGGCGCTGTTGACTCGGTCGCCTCGACCGCTGGCGCTGTTGACTCGGCCGCCTCGACCGCTGGCGCTGTTGACTCGGCCGCCTCGACCGCTGACGCCGTTGACTCGGCCGCCTCGCGCCAGCTGAGCTCGCCTCTCATTGGTCACTGTTTTTCGTTAATAACTCGTTAACGGTGCCTCGGAGAAAATTTTTGTAAAGAAAAAAGCTGCTTCAAATGACCTGAGGAACCCGCCACTTTCGGATTGCGAGACATTTTTGGGACACCCTGTACATTAACTATAAGTTATCTATCTTTTAATTATAACAATAAGTTATCTTTCTTATATTAACTATAAGTTAACTATCTTTTCTTAATAATCAATCGAACAGAATGTATAGGACGATTCTTAAACTTCTCGAATGTCTTTACAGTTCGACAATTTGCCTCGTTCATTTTTATTAGAAATTCGCAAAATCTACAGTCTAGCGATTTCAACGTTGAGCGACGATATATATCGCCGAAGCGAATACATGCAGCGTTCTTTCCTGCAGCCACGGGGATATATGCATGAAATCTCCGTATTGCGATAACATAGACGGAAATCTACGTTCCGGATCCCCCCTCTGGCTCCCCTCGCGGAGAAAGAAACCAGCTGACGCAACGTCTATTTCATTCGGTCTAAAAGCGGAGGCAGCCTGAAAAATCGGGAACGGTAATGGGATACCGTGTATTACGTCCTCGCGTATGAAATCTCGTGTCCCGATCGAAGTACGATCACGTTGATCGGAAACGAGATCGTATCGAGCCGAACGAAGTCCGCGGTTGAAACGGCTGAACTGGCGGAACAGTTTCGCCGGGCGAGCAACGGTAATGATTAGGCGGCACGCCGGAAACACCTACGTTGAAACGGATTCGTAACAGTAAATCGACGGTGATACTCATTGAGCACACGGTTCCCAGCGTAATTGCACGCTCGACGATATACGGTAAGGTTTCAATTTGTCGCTTTTCTAAAGCGTAACCGCGGAACTGTGCGCTGCGCGCCGCGCGCACCCGGCCGCTCTGTTATTACGGCATGGTGTTTGAACATCAGGTGCGACCGCCCACCGCAAGATGGAAATGATACGTTCACACGATTGATTGCAGCTCGTTGCATTAATGAGCGAAAACGGCTCCTGCAAACGCTGCCGACGAATTCTATGAACGCGGCTGTTCTATCGGCCGCGGGTCAATGCAGTAAATTCTCAACTAATTGACGCTCAGATTGTGCACAAAAATTGACAATTTGGGAGGCGGAGACACACGATTATTCGAGCTTTGCGGCTCGTTATATATAAATATAATAATATAATAATATATATTATAATAATAATATATAATATAATAATATAATAATATAATAATATATAATATAATAATATAATAATATAATAATATATAATATAATAATATAATAATATAATAATATAATAATATAATAATATAATAATATAATAATATATAATATAATAATATATAATATAATAATATAATAATATATAATATAATAATATAATGATATAATTTATATATATATATAAAATATAGTTATATTTTAGTTTTTGTAGTTAAATTATAGTAACTATAAAAACGAGCCGCAAGGCTCGCGAATAATTGTATATCCTCTTCCGAAATTGTCCATCTTTGTGTATAATCGGAGCGTCAATTAGGGAGAAAATTTACTGTAATTACAAGGTACCGGAGTATTGTCGGTTTAGTGGTATTACGGATTTCCGTTGTTCCTCGTCGCACCATCCGCGAACAGGCGAGCGTTCTTCCCACGTTTCGGCGGTGTTTAACACACGTTCGTCATCGAGCCGATCAGAACATCGGTGACGCAGCTTCGTAGCCAAGTTTCGGAATTCATTTTAGCTACCCTCTAGAGAGATTTCTCACAGAGATGGACAATTCGAGAAGAGGAGATACGATTATTCGAGCCTTGCGGTTCGTTTCCATAGTTATGAATTGTCAAGAACTATAAAAAGGAGTCGCAAGACTCGAATAATCGTATCTCCTTTCCCCAAATTGTCCACTTTTGCACGCAATCTGAGCGTCAGTTAGGGAGACATTATTGTACAGTAATGTCTCTCTAATTGCCCCCCGATTTGCCCATGAAAATGGACAATTTGGGAAGAGGAGATACGAATATTCGAGCTTTTAGGGTCGTTTTTATGGTCATCGATTCTCAACAATTATAAAAACGGGCTACAAGGCTCGAATAATCGTATCTCCTCTTCCCAAATTGTCCACTTTTGCGCGCAATCTGAGTGTCAGTTACTGTACAGCAATGTCTCTCTAATTGACGCTCGGATTGTCCACGAAAATGAACAATTTTGAAAAAGGAGATACGAATATTCGAGCTTTTAGGGTCGTTTTTATGATCATCGATTCTCAACAATTATAAAAACGGGCTACAAGGCTCGAATAATCGTATCTGCTCTTCCCAAATTGTCCACTTTTGCGCGCAATTTGAGCGTCAGTTCGGGAGACATTACTGTATTAGGCATAGCAGACTGTAGACGAATGATAGCTACGGATAGAGGCGCCGATGATGCTTCACTTCTGTGGGAATCGATGGTGCGTTTTTTTTATCGTTGAAGTTCACGATCGATCAATTTAACCGACCGTTCACAATTGACGATCAGTGTTTGCAGATCGGTGATCGGGGTTCGATGCTTCGAGTTCGATGTTTGGAAATCGATACATGGAAATTAATGTTCGAAGGTTGATGAATGGGGACGGATGCCTGGAGATTGATGATTGGAAGTGCTTTAATCGAAGATCGACTATCGCGAATCGACGAACAGGGATCGATACTTGAAAATCGATGTTTGGAGAGCGACGATTTAGAAGCGATGTTTGGAAGCTGATGAATGGGGACAAATGATTGAGAAGCGACGATCGAAATTCGATGTTTGAGAACCGACGGACGCATGTCGATGAATGGAGGTCGATGATAGAACATTAATGATCGACAATCGATGTCCGAGGATAATGATGTCCGACGATGTATGTACATCGATGTTTGCGAATTGATGAATGAACGTCGATGATGATTGGAGATTAATGTCTGAAACTCGATGATCGAGAATCGATGTACGAAGATACATTTATGAGCGCCAACGTTTAAGAATTGATTAATGAAAGTCGATGATCGAAGGTCAATGATTGAAATCTATGATCGAGGAACGACGATTAGAAATTGGTGAGATCGATGTTTAAGAATGAATGATTAAGAGTCGATGATTAAGGATCAGTATTTAAGGATCAATGGTCAAGGGATCAATGTTTGAGGATCAATGATCAAGGGATCAATGTTTAAGGATCAATGTTTAAGGATCAATGATTAAGCATCAATGTTAAGGATAAATGATTAAGAATCAATGATTAAGGATCGATGTTTATGGATCAGTGGTCAAGGATCAATGATTAAGGATCGATGTTTAAGAATCAATGTTTAAGGATCAATGGTCAAGGGATCAATATTTAAGGATTAATGGTCAAGGGATCAATGGTCAAGGGATCAATGTTTAAGGATCAATGGTCAAGGGATTAATATTTAAGGATTAATGGTCAAGGGATCAATGATTAAGCATCAATGTTCAAGGATAAATGATTAAGAATCAATGATTAAGGATAAATGATTAAGAATCAATGATTAAGGATAAATGATTAAGAGTCAATGATTAAGGATCGATATTTAAGAATCAATGTTCAAGGATCAATGGTCAAGGATCAATGGTTAAAGATCAATGATTAAGAATCAACGATCGCAAATGGTTTCAGAAGATTTAAAAGCAAAGAACAAACCTCCCTGAAGAACCTCGCCGTTGATCTCGTTCGCGGGTCGTTCGAGAGCGGTCGCTAATAAACAGCATAAATAACACAATGGCCGTGCGGCAACAACGGACGCGCGTCATCGAGCTTGCACGCGAAAGGTCGGCAAAGTGGCGTGCTAACATCCGCGAGCCTCGTGGCCAGGATATAAGGCAATTGTCGCGCTTTAGAAGTCGCTCGCAGCTATTAGACGAGAGCGCGGTGCTAACGGGGAAGTCCGTTGCATTGATGCGTTAATGATAGATTTATGCAAAGCGATGCTGGCGCGTTGACGATCACCCAGAGTCTAGGCCCTAGACACACGACACTCTCCGGATTGATCTCGATGCTCTCTGAAACTGTCCTTCAGCCGAGAAGAATTATCGATTGCTTCGAACGGCGATTAACCCTCCGACTACTGTCGACCGCTATAAACGATCGACAAATCTTACCAGAAATTACGACAACGAACGTACGTAATACAGACTCAGTGTTTCGACCATTTCAATTTAGATTCGAAGAATGCATGCCGAAGAGAAAGGACTTTCGCAAATGCGACGATTTTTCTGCCCGTTTTCGGATCCTCTAATTTTGAGTCTATTTTTGGTCTAATTGATTTTTTTGACAATTTTTTGGTCTAATTTTTTTCTGCCAAATAAAAACTTGTAAATGAGATATTATGAACAATTTAACGTTGAGTGTATTCTTAGATTCCGATATAAAGAAGGTCAAAGCGATCGGGACTGGGCTTTGCTCGTTGCCTCGGCCGCTTCGCGCCAGCCGATCTCGCCTCTCATTGGTCACTGTTTTTCGTTAATAACTCGTAAACGAAGCCGCGGATTGCATTTTCGCTAAGGAAAAGGTTACTTCAAATCACCAGAGGAATCACCCCTTCCCGGGTGTTAACGTAATTATGGGACTCCTTGTATATGTGGACACCCCTTAAATCGGAATACAGTAAATTCTCCCTAACTGACTCTCAACTTGGAAACAAAATCGAACAAGTTGGGAAGAGGAAGTGACCTCAGGAATCCCTCATTCCTCGCTTGTACAATAATTTTGGGACACTTTCTATAGAACTGTTAGCTATAAATTCGAAGCTTGCGACACAATGATATTTCTCCCCGGAAGAGTTCGTTCACCAAACTGTGCTGAATCCGAGCATCCGTATTGCCAAAACTAAGCATATGGCCAACGTTAAATTTTGTCCGCGGTTAACCTTTTAGGCACGACGCGCCACTATAGTGGCTTTCGCGGATGTCGTCTCTCTGAACGACGCACCACTATAGTGGCTTACTCTAGTAGCTTACTCGGTCATCGTTTGAATCATATAATCGTCTTCATATGCATTGTTTCACACTTCTTTTGACTTCACATCGATTTACAATATACAGACTTATCTTAACAATATAACTGTTAACAATATAACTGTATCTTAACAATATACAGATACTCTGTACAGTACATATCAGACTCTGCCGTCCAGAGAAATAGCCTCGCGCAGAATTCAGCCGTACCTAAAAGGTTAATGTTTCTCCACGATCTTTCGCGCGACAGAAAATTTGACCGGAAATTTGAGGACTCTGAGAACGGACAATTTATGCGGAGATTCTATCGCGGTTCATAGCGTAGCGGACGAAGCGGCACACGATGCGGCGCTCTATGTATGACATTCTGGCGTGGCGGAAGGGTTGAGGACAGCGCGAAAATATTGAACGTTTCTCGAAGATAGAATGTTTCCTTTCAGAGCCTCTACGAGAGCATAAAGACGGAGCCGTTCAAGATACCGGAGGACGACGGGAACGACTTGATGCACACGTTCTTCAACCCGGACAAGGAGGGCTGGCTCTGGAAGCAAGGTAACGGTTCGCTGGGAATCCGACTGCGCGTTTCACCAGGTGTCACTCGACCCTGTGCGATCGCGGAGACACGGAACCTCTTTTGTGTGTGGCTGGGGAAAGAATGTCGGCGGGGCGCGGCTGATCGTAGAATGTCGCGGGCCGCGCTATCTTGCCTGAGAAATTCCCGCGGTCCGGATGAATGGTGACAATAACCCTTTACAGCAGAGACTAGTCCCTCTCGCGAAATTTTCGTATTTTCTTACTTTTATCGGATCGTGCGAAGAGCATAACGCGACGTAAGAGCATAGAAACGCGACGTAGCACGACCTTGACGTAACCTTTGGGCGGCGCGGATTTTTGAGCATTTATGGGGGCCGCGGCTAGATCCATTCGAATCTTTACGATTTCGATCTTTACCTGTCCGTTCAGACCAAAGTTAACACTTTATCGACCGCTAGCCTATTTATCGGCTTTTCGATTGCTAATGCTTATCGACCGATAGCCTATTAATCGACTTTTAGCTATCGACGGTTTTCGCTTCTTTACTGTTTTGTTAGTAGCTGACCTCCTGTATGCTGACCCCCCCATATCCTTATGAATTATAATTATAATAATTATTATTATTTATTATTATTTTTAAAGGAATAAGCACAACACAATGAATAGCGAAAATTTAGCCGGTACTGGGAGCAAATGCGCGCGCGACTAAGCCAGTCCTTACTGAGTGGCAGCCTCAACCACGACCGGACAATAAAATGTTAAAATCCTTTTATTAGTTTCAATATTAACCCTTAGCGCTCCGTTGGCTCCGCTATGGAGATATTCGACATTTGTTCCGTAAATCCGAAGGCTCTGCTACGGAGCCCAATGTTTTAGGCATGATTACACCGAAGATGCTATGTTTTTGTCGACGTTGGTAATTGTTATTTGTAGTGAAAACGTGCTTAGCATTACGATTAAAACATTTGTTGCCCATTTTTATACTTGGCAACATAAAACGAATAAAATCAAACGCTTTTGCAAGGACAGAGATATTTTTTAGAACGTCCGAAGAATATTTACTAATTTTTAATTTAATTTAATTATCAATCGAGCCGATTCCAGTGAAGATTAACGATAACAAAATTCCGGCAAACTCGCGCAAAAGATATTTTTGTTTCGATAATTCTGTATCCGAACAGAATTCAACAGATGATTCGCGATGCTAATTTTATAATAAATCGCGTCAAAGAACACGAGGGATATATTCATTTCGATGAGGATGCATTTGCTGCTTGGAAATTTCGGTCATAATTCACGATGTCGATGCACCGACCTCGCGCAATGTTAAGTAGATACCATTACGATTGAAATATTTTTTGCCCATTTTTATGCTTAGCAACGTAAAATGAATAAAATCAAACGCTTTCGCAAGGACGCGTAATCTTTCCGCTCGAAATAAGACTTCCTTTATCTCGGGCGCTTTGCTCCAAAAATGTGCCGGAGTTGCTAGTAGGTAGTACTCGAGAAACGCGTGGAGCGCTAAGGGTTAATAGTTAATCAACTATATACGACTGCGACAAAATTAAAATTTCGATGGAACGTTCGTAAGCCTGGGTCCAAGTGGACCCGGCGCTCGCCGTCGGAGCATTAACCAGTACAATAATGTCTCTCTAATTGACGCTCGGATTGTCTACAAAAATGGACAATTTGGGACGAGGACATACGATTATTCGAGCCTTGCGGTTTGTTTTTACAGTTACGAATTGTCAACAACTATAAAAACGAGCCGCAAGGCTCGAATAATCGTATCTCCTCTTCTCAAATTGTCCATTTTTGTGCACAACCTGAGCGTCAATTAGGGCGACATTACTGTATCTCGATAAAAGGCTACGATCGTCCAAGCGTGAACGTAGCTGTTTGCGTTCCAGGGGTGACTATAGTTACTCCTTTCCTTGGCGCGGTCGCATCCATTCACCCACTTCTTTCATCTAATAATACCAATGAACAGTTTCGCCGGGCGACCGTGAGCACTGTAATTCACTTTTCATTTGTTTCATTTCCTGATCGAGCCCACCCCCTCGTTCTCGGGCGCTCCCTTTTCTCTCTCTTTCTTCTCGTAACGCTCTTCGCACGATCCATCATGTTCGAGGAGGCAGCCTACCACCCACGGAGCGTCAAGCGATACGCATCGCTTCCGTGACATGCGGGTGGTGGCAGGATGCAGATACACGCTAGATGCGATCTAGCGATCCCGTCGCTTCTCGATCGATCGGAGTGAATCAATTCACGGACGAGGGAAGAAGGGGGGGCCGTCGTACGAACCGACGCTCGAAGATGTGTCGCGGCTGTGAAGGGTGGTTGACAGCGTGACGGAATTTTAAATCGCGGTGATCCGTTGCGCGACACGAGACTCGGTTTTAGCCTGATTATTCTCGAAGCTGCTCGGCTCGGGTCGGAAATTGGTAGATCGAGCGACTAGAAATTAAAACTCGTATGTAAATTTCGACGAACAATGCGAAGCAATGTTCGACGAGTTAATGTCGAGGCTAGAGTAGAGTAATGTCTCCCTAACTGACGCTCAGATTGTGCAGAAAAATGGACAATTTGGGAAGAGGAGATACGATTATTCGAGGCTCGTAGCTCGTTTTTATTATTTTCGCAAGGCTCGAACAATCGTACCTCCTCACCCCAAATTGTCCATTCTCGTGGACAATCTGAGCGTCAATTAGAGAGACATTACTGTACCGACTGTCCTCGTCCGACCTAGCCGATGGAGAAGATCCGCTAGGCTGGCCTCGGCAAACGAGTCCCGGTAGCAACGCCGAGAAGCGAAACGGTCCATAAAGCATTTAAAATTCCGCCGCGAAGGTGCGAGCGAGAACGTCCCGGAACAGCGTCTCCCAAACTCTCGGCCTCGTATCGAGCGCCACACGGATCGCTCGAATATTTTCAACGTTATTCGGACGCATTCCGAGGATACTGTCAGCGGTTCTAGATACAGGGGTCCCAGGTATTTCGGCTCGACTACGGCGCCTCGGTGAATCATCGGCGCTGAAAGATACCTGGCGAGCTAGCAGATAGAGACGCGGGAAGATAGAGGCCTCGGAAGCTGGAAACCTGGGGAGCTGAAGGTTTAGGAAGCTAGAGGCTTAGGAAATTAGATGTCTAGGAGACTAGAGAACCAACGTAGAAAAGTGGACAGACGTAGAAAACTGGTGGCGGTGTACAGGGTTGGAAGTTTCCTAGGGGAAACTGGTAGGCTTAAGGAGTTCGAGGCGTAGAAATCTAGGTAGCTAAAGATGCAGGGAAACTACAGATTTAGAAACTGAGAGCCTAGATAGCTATTATAGAAACCTAGGAAAACCGAGGGAGCTAGAGAGGTCTAGGAGAGAGAACCAACGTAGGAAACTGATGGTGGTGTACAGGGTTTGTACAGGGTTTGAGACTTAGAAATCTAGGTAGCTAAAGATGCAGGGAAACCACAGATTTAGAAACCGAGAGCCTAGATAGCTATTATAGAAACCTAGGAACCGAGGGAGCTAGAGAGGTCTAGGAGAGAGAAGCAACGCAGGAAACTGATGGTGGTGTACAGGGTTGGAAATCTAGGAGAAACTGGTATGCTTAAGGAGTTTGGGGCCTAGAAATCTAGGTAGCTAAAGATGCAGGGAAACCACAGATTTAGAAACCGAGAGCCTAGATAGCTATTATAGAAACCTAGGAACCGAGGGAGCTAGAGAGGTCTAGGAGAGAGAACCAACGTAGGAAACTGATGGTGGTGTACAGGGTTGCAAGCCTAGGGGAAACTGGTATGCTTAAGAAGTTTGAGGCTTAGAAATCCAGGTAGCTAAAGATGCAGGGAAACCACAGATTTAGAAACTGAAAGCCTAGATAGCTATTATAGAAACCTAGGAAAACCGAGGGAAGGTAGAGAGATCTAGGAAGCTAAACTAATCGTGACGCGGAGAGACCGTTTGGGAGCTGCGGTTCCCGCGATAGTGTGACACCCCGACGAGAAGACGATCGTTAGAAGTCTGTGTACCAACATATTCTTATATCGGATCGCTTTGTCCCTCTGCTGCCCTGACGGAGACAGCAGGTAAATAATGCATCTGTGATCGGTGCATCGATCCTCAGCTACATACGGTCGACTCGATGTTGCAGGCGGACGTTACAAAAGCTGGAAGAGACGATGGTTCATACTGAACGACAACTGTCTGTACTACTTCGAGTATACCACGGACAAGGAGCCGCGGGGCATCATACCGTTGGAGAATATTCAGGTGCGAGAGGTGCAGGATCGGCACAAGCCGCACTGCTTCGAGTTGTACGCCGCCGGGTCCGAGTTCATCAAGGCGTGCAAAACCGACAGCGAGGGAAAAGTCGTCGAAGGTACTATAGACGGACGTGGCAATTAATCGAGCGAGTTTTAATGGACCACCCGGGGGTTGTAACCTTCGAGCGCGTTTATGGCAGCCACGGCTAGATCCGTTCGTATCTTTACGATTTAACGGATCGAGTGTCGAATATTAACTCGAAGAATTCACACGATATCAAAGTCGTTTAACCGTTTGAGTCCCAAGCAGCGCGATCGCGCTGTTCAGATCTTGCGTCGCGATCAAACTTTAGTGACACACGTGCATCGCATAGCTGCTTTTTCTCATTGTTTTTCTTTTTGTTTCGTTTGTCAATCTTGACGAGCGCTGTCGCGCCGCTTGGTTCTCTTCGCAATCAATTAATACAAGCGCTATCACGCTGTTCGCCACTTTTCGACCGTGTTTTCTGAATAACCTCTGGGAATCAAACGGTTAATCGATGACACCGAAACTGGAAAGTGAAAATTTGCCGTAAAGGAAATATTGGCTCAGCGATTTTGTGTTCTACAAATCCTAGTTACATTCGATTCGTTCGATATATTACGATAAAAATAAATGTCAAATACCTAGTGAAAAATTAGCGTCACCCATACGCGACACCGAACGTATTAATTTTCATTTCTATATTATTAGAACCTCTTTGTCCTAGATTGGAACCTCTTAATCCATTTATTAGTTAGAAATTAGAATTCGGATCGATTCTTTGTAATTCTGGGTCCGAATCGACCCCGGCGCCCGCCATTCGAGGGTTAAACACCCTTGTCCGGAAGCTTCGAAATGAAACGATGAAAATGCATTCTCCGCTTCGAGTTGTTGTTCGAGCTCTCGATCAAATTTAGCCGGTGGTTCCCACGTGCAAATCCTCGCCGCAATTTGCTATTCAATTCCCGGCGGTTGAAAAGCGGAGAGCATCGCGGCCGGAGCGGAACGTCGGGAACAGAATTATCTCTTTCTCACGTCGCGCGATCGAGTCACGTGTGCGTGCCGCGCTGCCATTTAACGCGGCGCTCTTTTTCTTTTCTTCTCTCTACTTTTTTTTTTTCGCGTCGCGCCGGTAATTACAGCAGAACCACGCCGTTAACCGTTACTTCTCGTTTATCGCAGGTAAGCACACTGTGTACAGAATGTCTGCGGCCACGGACGAGGAGAAAGAAGAATGGATCAAGTGCGTGCGGTAAGTCGCCGTTGCGTTCGGCTTGCGAATAATTGAGGGAGCAAGGAGGGGAACGCCGCGAGGCCGCGGCGCGTTCTTCTAGCCGCGTTTTGACGCTGCTGTTGAACCTTTTAATAAAAGAAAAAAAAAAGAGAGGCGGGTTCCCCGTATACATGCATGCGGAGAATCCTGCGAAACCACCGGTGCAATTATTTTCTGCCTTTGTCCGGGGAATTTTAAGCACATTCGAGACTCGTCAGCCTGTTTCGAGCGGAATGCTACGGTAACTTTTTATTTTTTTTAAAAATCGTGTGCAAGTTACTGGCCTTTTAGTCGAGTGCAATTACTATCTGCAGGAACTAGTAAGTAATAGTCGCTAGAAGCCACTTTAATTCTATACCCCATTGGTGTCTGTTTCTAAAAATTAGTAGTTTATCCTTTCGCAAAATGTACAAGGATTTGTTTAAGATATCAAATTTATATATATATATATTTATTATATTATTTATATTATATATTTAAATAAAAAATAAATATAATAAATATAAATATATAATATAAATATAATAAATATAAATATATAATATAAATATAATAAATATATATATATATATATTTATATATTTATTTTATATATATATTTAGATATCAAATTTTAACAAATTCCTCAGAAGCTATTGGTTTTTCGTGGAACAGAATTACCATTTTCGGAAGTTTAGCAACTTCAGAGAACTCTGAATGCGAACAATTCCTATTAGTCTCGCTTTAATTCTGCGCCCAAAAGTCGTTCGCTACTACAAATTAATAGTTTACTCTTTCGCAAATTGTACAATCATTTCAAACTGCCAGGATTTCCTAAATTATCTGTTTTAACCCTATGCGGACGAAGCCGCTCGACGGGCGAGCGTCGCTGTGGACGACAGGTATTGGATATAAAATAAAAATGTTATAAGATATAATGTTATAAATGTGGAAAACTTTGCTGGTTTCTCTGGTATTGACACTGAAAGACTGACTCGACAAACTGAAATTTGTTCTGAACCTACGGTTAAATTAATAAATTTATATTAATAATTAATAAATTAATAAAAGGAAAACGGTAAAATGACTTGTTCGGCTATTTGCCGACACTCGTCCGCAACGATAAAAAGACTTGGGCGGCTATTTGCCGACACTCGTCCGCAAAGGGTTAAAAGTATACATATTTTTGTAATTAGTATTATAAAATCAAGTCCAGTTGTCCCGTTCGATGGTTGATTACCCTACACGCAACAGTTCTCAAATGCTGTCGTAATGGTGGGCATTCTCTCTCAGTGTCCACAAATGGTATAAGTAGTTTTTCAACAGAAAACACACCGTCGCGCACTGGATTGCGCGTTAAACGGACGTTCACCCGTAATTTTGTCTATCTTAGACTAGACATTTTGAAGATAACAACCCTGGACGAGGGACTAAATTATAGGACTAGATTAAGTATTACAAGGTGTCCCGAAAATATCTCGCAATCGGGAAATGGGAGGTTCCTGAGGTCATTTGAAGCAACTTTTTCCTTTGCGAAAATTTTATCCGAGGCTTCGTTTACGAGTTATTAACGAAAAACACTGACCAATAAGAGGCGAGCTCGGCTGGCGCGCGGCGGCCCAGCCAACGAGTGCGCGGAGCCCAGTTCCGCTCATTGGCTCGGCCGTCTCGCGCCAAATGATCTCGCCTCTGATTGGTCACTGTTTTTCGCGAATAACTCGTAAACGATGCCGCGGATTGCATTTTCGCTAAGGAAAAAGTTGCTTCAAATGACCTGAGGAATCCCCTACTTTCGGATTGCGAGACATTTTTGGGACACCCTATATATGTATATTTCCCCTCTAAATTCCAGCCAATTCTAATTCGATGCGGTTCATTAATTTCAGGCAAAGCATATCGCACAATCCGTTCTACGACATGCTGGCAGCGCGGAAGAAAAAGGCGCAGAAGACGAATGTTCATTCGAAGAGCTAAGTGCCGCATTGGACACAGCTTCGTGAGAAGCTTGGCGAGACACAAGACTGTCTGTTCACGAGCCTGCGTGATCGGCACAGGATCGTGGAAGTACAATCAAACGTGGACAAAGGAGAGGTCCATCGAGCAAGAAGAAGCGCGCGCCGAGGATCTCGCGAATGGGGAAGGACACGTTCAAGGTCGCTGGCGAAGTATCATCCTCAGCGAGTCCGAGGACGATCTCGAAAGAAGGGGCGATGCTGTTTGACTGAGAGTCGTATGCCGTTGCGTTTTCTAATAGGAACGAGCTGCGCTTTAGGGGCCTAGTGTATTATTTAAACGAATCCGGAGCTAGACTCGAACAGAGGACGTCTCCAAAGGAGACGACGAAGGGGATTAGGTTGTTGCACATGTTCGAGGACAGGTCCGCAGCTCCGGCCGTCGCGGATGCTTGTCGGGTAGAGGGCCCATAGGAGACACTCGGGATTTTTTCATTTTCGTAGAAACTGTTCTCGCACCGTTGCTCTCCCTTAGAGCCAAAGCTGAAAGCCCTTAGACAAGTGTGACGCGCATCGAATCGAAAGAAACTAAGGCTCTTATTGCTTACCTGGATATTCGAGTACTTGGATCGTTCGTTATCGTAATATCGGATCCTCCGCTTTTAATATCTAGCTTGCAAAGATTCTTTAAAGCAAAGATACATTTCCATCCGACTTTCGCTTATTTAAGTTGCTTCGAGTAATTTCGATTTTTGCATAAAGATCGTGAGACCACTCGTTTTACTGAAATTGAATCCGAGTACTCGGGTGTCCGAAACTGAATTAGAGCTAGTGTCTAAAATTGTATGAGACAAATTGTACTACTCTAAATTGAGCAAGAGCCCTAAGAGTAACAATGGAAACGGGGTGAAAACCGTCCCCATTTTCAGGCAGCTTTATCAAATCGGTCGGAGACGTGAAATATGTATTTTGTACCGTTTCGTGAGCTTTTTGCTATAAGAAAAGGGGCAAGAAATTCGTATGGAACAATGACTCGCGGCTAACTGGAAGCGTTGCTTCGTAGGACATCGGTTTCTGTCTGTTATTGTTAACGAAGAATTTGTTAATTCATATCCAAGAAAGTGAGACCCGTCTACATAAGTTAATAGGTTCAGTTGTTAACACTTTATCTGTACCGGAAAAGAAGTTTAACAATTTTCTTTTTCTTACACACAAGTCCTACGTTACACGAGAAAACTTATCGCTTTTTTATTAAGAAGCCCGCAATTGTTATTCTTCGCAAACCTATGAAGTAGTCGACGGTAAACAAACTATTAACTATGTCCAAACGGGTCAAACTGATTAGTCCCAGATTTCTCGCTTTTTCAATCACCGGATATTCGTTGTTACTGTCATCGAATGAGATGTCCTTTGAGAGATGACTGTTAGCCAACGTTAAAAGCGCGAGATGCGAATCGGTGAGACGCGTGTATTAATGTGATAGTCGTGTATTTATTTAAGAACGAGAATGGAGCGTGTGTAGATAAGACTAGGTAATATGTTTCCTTGATATGCCAGAAATTCTCTTGGGCCGTACATTATTGTGCGGTTCGTAGGTATGGCATAATTAGCCAATTATGCGACTGTAGGCTAGAAACGACATCGTTTTCCTTTCGTTTGGGATATACATATATTTATATATATAGATATAAACATATACATATATATATAAATATACATATTGCGGCGCGGGGCACGTAGCTTCGGGCATTATACATACATATTATACATACTGCAATATAATTAGTTTCGATAGGGCAGGCAATTTAAAAAGCAAGTAACACAGAATAGTATCTTGATGAGATCCGATCACGAGCCTGCGTCCCTGGAATAGCATGAGCAAGTTTTAACAGTACAGACTTTTTCATATAATGTACAAGTCGAAAGTATGGGATCCATTAGTGTTTCTGTACCCAACAGAGACGTTAGCAGTAATGCGAAATTAAATGCATCGTAATTTATTTATAAATGCATTGAGTGTAACTATTTAATAGTCGTATTGTAATAGCTGCATATTGCCATATCAGGTTTCCTATTGTCGCTCAATATTTCTCTTGTTGCTAAGATACCATTTTTTCCTTATAATCTTCCTCTTTTATAAACACTTATACAATCTTCATGAATTAGTATTTTTCATCGACTGTAACTCTTAGCCCATACTTTCGACCAACGGTAAGTGCTAAACTGGACAATATCCAGTTGTTCCAGGCAAAGAAACTCGCATGAATATACGGAGCATGTTAAAATGATGTCAACCCTTGAAATGAGAAAAGAAAAAGACAATTATTCAACCTGTTCGGAAATACTGTTTTTTAAAATATTTAAGTGTCAACATAATTTTGACATTCTCCGTATTTCGAAGTTACTTTGGTCTCTGTTCGTCGGTAAATCATAGACGAAAAATAAATACGATGTAACTGCAGACTTTTGAGACAGTTTTTTAAATTCAATTTGATAATGGTCTCTTTGGATAATAGCAACCTTTTTATAATTCAAAGTATATTCATTATTACTAGTCAGAAATGGTATTCGTAAAACTGTTTTCTATCACAAACGTGTCTCAGATTAGTCGATCGGTGTACCAGAAGTTTTCAATATTCCTTTATACCGTGTAGCGCATCATTATACTCGCAATAGTTTCCTCATTTGTAGAATAAGCAGAATTTACAGATCCGTCTTCGGATTAAGAACTTTCTAAACGTAGATACCTTCCAGTTTCACAGTTACCTTGGATCTTAGCAAGCTTAAAACCAGTCGGGTTTCGCACAGTGACTCTCAATGGTTCCTGTTGGTATAATAATGTCCTTCTCAGCAGAAATAAATTTACACCCTAGAAATTGCTAGCACAACGAATGTGCAAATAATCAAACCATATAAATCATGCTGGACTGTACTTTATTTGTATTTATTTATTTCTTTGATTGCCTATAAGTTTTTACTTTTGTAATTATAGATAGAAGCTTGTATATTAATTCCAGTTCCAACAAGCAAACTTGAATTAATTTACCAGTGATACTGTTCTTATTCGATAATGCAAATAAAATGCAATCGAGAAGCATTTATATGAATTGATCGAATTGTATACGTCCACTAGTGTTAACAGCAAGAATCATTGAGGAACGCTGGTATACTGTGAGGCAGAACTGTTTGTACATTGTCAAGACATAGTAATCTCCTCTACGAATAGATTACGATATAAAATAAAAACTTTTGTCCCTCGCTCTACGCCGATGCATAAACAAATGACAGAAAAGCCAAGAAAGGACAAAAGAAAAAGATGCGGGTGCCTTTTGAGACCTTGTTCAAGCTAGTCGTAACAGCGGATCCGTCTTGTGTGTGCATGTGAGGTAACGAAAAAGTATCAACGGTTTTAGGTTCATTTTGCTGTGTACGTACAAGGAAAAAATGTCGGACATCGAAAACGCCTTATTACGATACATTACAATAACGAAACGCAGAAATAATTATATAGGGCAAAGGATAAAAAAAAAAATAGGGCATAAGATTTTTTAATGTCACGCTGTATTTATGGGTAGAGAGTCGAGAACGATAAAAAGAACGGTGGATTTTTCTATATCCGTAAATAGTTTCTCGTGTTTTGACAGACAATTGTTTCGTGGCCATCGACCCGTCCTTGGATCAACTTTATACAGAATCGTTTCTCTCTCGTTTTTCTACTGCCTGCAAAGATCAATTTAACCGTTCAAGGTGTAACCATGGTCATTGTTTGTCCGTTAATATTAATATTTATCTGTGGACAGTCTCCTTACTTCCACACTTGCTGCAACGGCAGCGACGAATTTAGACATAAAAATGAGAAGAAAAAAAACTACTGGTCCATGAATCGTTAGGAATTGTGTAAAGTTAGGTTTTAGACGATACACTCCGTTAATTCGTTAACGTCCCCCGTGTCATGTTCCCTTGGAATATTGTTTGTCAGTTGATGTAATATAATTTATATTCTATTAGAAGGACTGGTTCGAGTGTCTCTACTAATACATCGAGCTCTGATAATCACGAAGCATGAGACAACGAAATATTAACATTAATTAATCGACAGTCTGGTACAAAAGTTAATGTGGAACTTCATGGGTGAAAATTAACACAGAAACCGATGTGCAGAGTAATTTTAAAGTTTACTATTCTGAACAAATATTTGAATGGACGGTAGATGACTATCATAGAGCTTGGGTGTTAGTAGGACACTTAATTCAGTCTGAGAATTGTATAAAGAACTGTACTTTATAACAGAAAAATTGTACATTTCGTTGTATATTATTTTCACTCGATAACTGTTATGTATTCATAATGATCTGTATCTACGACCTTACATGTATTAATTTAAACACAATAAATATTTCCATTTCGTAAGAAACGTACAAGAAAATTAACGGCATTTAAAAGACTTCTTCTTTTAGCCTTTTTAACTTGGTTAGCTTTCAAATATTAAATGAATAGGTTTATTAATGCACACCAGCATGCAGGCAGCTGCCTTTTTTGCCGACTGCCCCGAGTCTTCGGGCCGGTAATGGACGTATCAATCCGTCATACGTTTAGCCAGCCAGGCGGTAAATTTTATGACAGAGTCGTATTGCGACGAAACACAACAGTCCCGCGCACGGCTCCGATTATCGCTCGAACAGCCTCGTGAAAAGCAAAGTTGCACTGTTGTTGCAAATTTAATTGCTTCTAATTTATGATTATTTGAAAGAAATAATACAATATTGGATTCGTATTGAAACCAGCTATCGTAATATGACTAAAAAAATGTATGGTCTCATTTAAAAAAATCAACTTGACCTTGAAATATCATTCACCATTATGTCGATAAAAAAATTATTGATATTACCTAAAACGTCTCCTTATACTGAACACTTTTTGTATAAACATTGTTTTCGTAGCTTCGATCTATTTCGAGATATTTCACTGTTCTCAGTTAGGCGTAACACCCTGTATGCCTAATTTAATTAATAAATATATAATAAAGCAGCAGATGTTATAGAAATGTTAAATCAAACTTTATTTAATATTATTTTATATATTATTCGCCTTCTGTTATTACACGGTAATTTTTTTAAACATTTTTATATTTTCATGAAATTAGCCTTAACCAATACTTATCTGATGTATTTTATTCATTTTATTCAACGCAAAAGGTATGTAATACGTAAAAAATTGTATAATACTTACAATAATTCAATCTAACACTTTCATCTCAATAGTGGATAACACATTATCGGTTGCCGTGACATTCGAAGGCAACTGGTCGAAGTAAAACGCCGATTTATAGGTTATCAGTCGGTAAGTGCTGGGAACAAAAAACTGATTAGTAGGCTACCGGTCGGTAAGTGCTGGGAAGAAGAAGCTGATTAGTAGGCTACCGGTCGGTAAGCGTTGAACACAAGAACCCGATTAGCAGGCTATTGGTCGGTAAGGTGTTAAGTTTCCGTAGTGCGTGCAAGCGAGCGTCTTTATAATTGTCTGCCTTGTTAGTTTATTAGTATTAAGATCGCTCAGGGGCTTCCGAATCACGAGAGCGCCCGTGGAGGGGACGGGGAATAGGGTCCCCTTTCATGAAGTATGACATTCGCGCACTTCGAATAATACCGATAAATATCGAACAGAGTGCAATCCCTAAACCCATGATTTCGTATCGCTATGTCGGTAAGTATGACCTCTACCGTTACCTCCTCGCAAGGGTGGCTTGCCACATACGCTTCTTTCCGCTGAGTTGATTGGCCCCTTTTAGAAATGTTTTTTCAACTTTTTAAAACTGTTTTCAGAAAATTTTAGAACTGTTTCTAGAACTTTATGGAACCGTTTCCAGGACTTTTTGTGGCGATCTATGCGCCTCTCAGTTGGTTCCTCGATACTTTTAAGCAGTACCTGAACGGGGTAGGAAGATGCGTCTCACGCTGCCAACCCCGTTCGGTGCTAGTCCTGGGGGACTTCAACTCCAAAGCTGAGGTTTGGGGTTCCCCAGGACGAACCCGAGGGGCCGGGAGGTGCTGGATTGGGCGGCAGGACTCGAGCTCCATTTACTTAATACGGGCTTAATACGGGGACCCACACATAGAAAAAAACCATGTACGTATATTAGTTTGCAGAGGTTTACGTTGACTAGCAGAGACGCTTTAATGTCGAAGTGTAGATTAATTGAGTTGTAGATAATTAAATTGTAGAAATGATTGCCATTTCAAGACGTAGAATCCTACGGGGCGAAAAGTACAAGTCGAATATCGCGCCAAATACAGGGTGTCCCAAAAATGTCTCGAAATCCGAAAGTAGGGGATTCATAAGGTCATTTCAAGCAACTTTTTCCTTAGCGAAAATGCAATCCGCGGCTTCGTTTACGAGTTATTCACAAAAAACAGTGACCAATCAGAGGTGAGATCATTTGGCGCGAGACGGCTGAACCAATGAGCGGAACTGGGCTCTGTGCACTCGTTGGCTGGGCCAGATCGCAAGCATGGTAAAGTGAGACAAGCTATATTGGTCGTCGGTGTGACTTGTTTCGCTTGTGGTTGTGCTGATGTCATGCTCTCTTGCTCACTCGTCACTTTCTCTCTTTGTCTGAAACTGTGAGGGCAGCACTGTTTAGTTGTGAAGCGTCAACCAATCNCTACATTTTATATAATTCCGCCAGGGGTCCGAGCTTCTCCAGGTATCGTAAAACCTTTTATTGTTGGTCCAGATACTTTCCTTCCCTGAGAAACCGTTATTTAATATCATATAAATTGAAAAACTGCGTACTAGAGGCATATTTATTCCAAGACACTCGTCACTTCCTCTTTTTGTATAAAACTATGTGAATAGCACTGTTTAGTTGTGAAGCGTCAACCAATCAGAGGAGAAGCAGTTTCTGTACTGCTTCATAATTGTAAGCTGATTGCGCACGCCTTGGTTTACTATGCTGAGGCATTACTGTATCATCGGCATTTCGTGATTTTTCATATACTGCTCCAATTATACTTGTATTTCAATTATAATAAACATAATGAATTCACTACGATTCGTTTCTCGGCGAAACATTCATCAGATTCGTCAATTTCATAAATGGTAGGAGTTGTCGTCTTTTAAATGCGTGATGTGTTTAGACAAACGTGATTACATAACCTCGGTTTTGAATACGTTTTCTAAGGTTCAACAGTTATCATTGTTTATACGTTTATTTTAGCATTGTTCGACAAACTGAAGCAGCTGCTGCTACTAGTGCTGCTACTAGTGCTGCTACTAGTGCTGCCACTAGTGCTGCTACTAGTGCTGCGACTACCAGCGAGCCAACAGCTTCTCCTTCGGTAGCACCTATCAATGAAGCAGAAATTAGTCCAAAAATTGATCAAATTGCTAATCAGATTGTTGCTTTGAATTTGATAGAGGTAGCACAATTGAGTGATTTGTTGAAAAAACGATTGAACTTGCCAGATGCACCTATGATGCCAATGGGTGGTTTCATCGGCGCAGCTCCTGTCGAGGTATTGTATAAATATACAGAGCATTTGAATAATAATTGCATAACAACTTCACAGCATAAGGAAACACATCTGTACATTTGTACATAATTTTAGGAAGAAGAAGCGGAACCACAAGTAGTACAATCATCGTTTACAGTTAAGCTAACAGCCTTTGACGAAAAGAAGAAGATTGCTTTAATAAAGGAAATCAAGAATATATTACCAGATTGCAATCTTGTGCAGGTAATGCAACTATTTTATTTATGAAACCTTTTCAAGAAATCATTTGTTTATTTTAACTTTATTTTAACAGGCTAAGAAATTCGTTGATAGTATCCCAGCAGTACTACGAGCAAACGTTATGAAGGATGAAGCAGAGAAATTGAAAGACACCATTACAAGTGCAGGCGGTACTGTGGTAATCGAGTAATTGTCGAACATTAGTTTATGTAAATACTATAAAGCATTCAGGAGATCACTTAAGAGGTTTGATAGTATTTTTTGATATCTTTGAAATCGATTAAGATTACAATGGTCATCTTGTTTCATAATCTAGATAAATATCGTTTACATTATTGTGCATTTCATAGGTAAAACCATTTTTGTACACACTTTATGTTATGTGAATCGATTGTTACATTATTTCTCATATTATTTTGACAATATTCGCTGCATCGAAGATGTACACATAATTCAGTTAATTGTTATATATTTGTACATAAAATACCATGAAATTGTATTAAGCCAAAAAGTAATAAAGTGAAATCCTAAATCCTATTCGAATGTTTACTTAATTTAGATCCAAATAGTAAAAGCTCTAATTCAAGGTAACGAAGAACCAAATATTAAGAAGCGGCGCAGATCGTACAGAACTGAATCTGCGCCGAACGTTTTTAACTCCACCGATTACAATATCTCGGTGCTACTTTATCCTAGCAATAAATTCATCAGCCATCTAATTGTTTATTCACATATTCTTATTTAAAGACAGCTGGTTTGATAAGACTATATGCTAAACAATGTGTTTCAAGCTGATCGACGAATTCAACAACTGGCGCTGCGATAACAGTTGTATCGATAAAATAAGGGCCGTAGCAATTACATTTAGAATCTTCATTTGCGTATGATCGGCTCCTCCGGGCATTATCAAACCCCTGGAAAAATTCGACGAGTGCAGAAATTGCGATTCCAAGTGCATTCGGTTACAGGAGTTCTATTTCAGTCCAAGGAGGGGGGAAACCATCAGAAATTTTTTTGTTTCATCAAACGGCCGCTGTAGCAGGGACGAATGTGCGACGGCACTGCGCCACGACGACTACTGCCACGATGGCCGAGGAGACTGACACAAACGATAAAGCGACGATGGAAAGTATAGCGCAAAATATACTTGAGGTTCGTGACAGTCGTGATCAGGACAGTGCTCGATAACGTAATAGTGCCTTTCGAAGTGCCGAGAGAAATAGTGATCGAAGTGACTCTATAATTCAAGTCACATTTTCTGTGATTTTGACAGATCAGTGCCGGAGGTGGGTCCGCGTCGAACGAAGTCGCTGCGCTGGAGTTTCAGGCCTCGCAGGTGATATCGAGGCTCGAGGAAGCCGTCGTCAAGGCAGCCGACGGCGGTGGGACCACTTGGAACAACCCCTCAGGTTTTCTCTCGCAGTCGAAAAACCCGGATGAAATATTAACTTTGATCCAGGTAAATACAACGCTAGCAGAAGCCATTACTTTGCCCTCATTGGTCGATTCCATTAGACTCGCTCATTGATTGGCTCTCATGTTCATCAATTTCGGCGAGCGGCCATCACGTGGTCTTACGAGTTGGTTGATTGCCACTGGGGTGTCCTAGCAGCGCCAATTTTCAAATATCTGAAAAATTCCAGCTCGTTCAATCACTCATCATCGACACGTTCGATTATTGCAGTAATGTTTACTATGTTACCAAGAGAAATTTGAAATAGTATAAGGGTTCAAAGGGTCGGTGTTTGGAATTCATTTAAGGAGTCCTAGACTGGGATGTCTATTTACCCACTTCTGTTAAAAATTCTAATCCATTGCAATGTGCTATTGTGTTAACCAAGAATAATTACTGTCATTGTTCGCTATATAGAACTGATAATAAAGAACTCATTTCCATAGTAATTATGGACTAACAAGTCAGCAAGTGCTGAGCTCATTAACAATAAACGTAACTACATAATTGTACATTGTAACATTTTTTACACCTAAGATCACACGGCGTCCTGTGAGACATTTCTCCTCTTTAAGTGTATTAGCGTACATCCTTCTCAGAATTTATTGGAGACCGACGATAATATCAGATCAACTCCCGCTTCTTTTGTTATCGCTAAATTAATACAAATTTTATAGTATAGCGATGCTCAGATTCTAATGGATACGAAGTCGCTTTAACATGTCTGGTATTGGATGTGTAATATCTGTATAGTCGATAATATGTAATTAAACATTTTATTTTTTGGGTAATATCAGAACCAAGATATCAATGACGAATAATTTGCAGGATTTGGTAATCCACGAAGATGGTCCACAAGCAACAGAAGACGGTTCGACAGAAATATCAGCGAGCCAAGTCACCGCCCTGCCAACGTTATCAGAATCGGCGAAATTAGCATTAATAACGTACACGGTATCTGCTTACGCCCTTGCACTTCCGAAATCTCATGCTCAGAAGCTAGCCGGCCGTTTGGCCGCTGACACAACCCGATGGCTAAGCCACATCTTTCGTTTCGTCGACTGTGCCTCCTCGTTCCACGAGGATCACCTGGAAGGCTTGATCAGGGTCACTAGGCTAGCCTTGCATCGAAAGTACCCCCGTTACATGGACGAGGGCTTCACTGCCCTCGCAGCCTCGCCGCCATTAATTTACAGTTCGGTGGCCGCGCCTTTAGGCGTGGTCCAACATCTATGCAAACAGGTACTACATTTTCTGTATCTGATTAATGAATACATTCGGATTACTGATTTTAAGAACATGTATATTGCAGCTTTCTTTGCCGCTTCACTGTGTAAGACCCATCCCCCATAACACGATGTTTGGGTCAAGATACAGTATGGACGTGTCAGCCTTGGAACGACGATTAGCCGAGGACACGCAATCAAATAGTGTGACGCCGCTTCTCGTGCTCGCTGAGGCCGGCTCTGTGCTAACTGGACACTGCGATAATATCGCCAGGCTGCGTGCTATTTGCGATAAGTACAATGTCTGGCTCCATCTCAGGGGACACTCGTTGGCCGCGTTAGCTTTGAATAATTCAGCGAAAGATCTGGTATGATTTTGTTATCCTTCTGATAATTCATTTTGTAACATTGACTACATGGAAGAATTTTTTATTTTTCAGCCCTCGAAGATAGCAGACAGTATCACATTACCCTTGGGTATTTGGCTCGGTATACCATCTTTGCCAGTAGTTGTATCCTTTTAAACAAAAGCATAACAAAGTCGATAGAAACGTTTAAAGCGAAGAAAATGATCCTTAATCCGCATATACAGACGTTGTACAGATTAACAGACACAAAGGGTGGTCGACCGACACCGAGGGACACAACGTTATCTCTGGTGTCGGGTTTAATGGCGGATTCTTTATCGAGACGTCTGCCAACGTTGCCTCTGTGGGCTGCTTTACAAGCATTAGGTCGGGATGGTGTATATAACAGGTTGAAGAGATGCTTTTTGGCTGTGGAGGACTTGTACCATACGATCAAGAAATTCAATTGCATAAGGATATTGGTAATTTTGAAAAAAAGATTGTGATTTCAATCGTGTTTTCTGATCGGGTGCTCATTTCAATTTCTCTATGCTTCAGAGTCAACCACCGGGGGGTGAAACAGGCTCTTACACGATAAACGAACTGTTATCGAACCCGGTGAACAATCCACAAATATTCGAGGCGGTGGCGAGCGCATTAGTGTTTCAATTCGTGCCTGCAGATAGGGACCCCCAGTCAACAGAACCCGTCCCGCCTTACTACGACAAGCTGAACTCATGGCTGGGACAGATACTGCAAAGAGACATCGAAAACGTACAAATAGAGCTGTGCGAAATCGAGAACCATGGAGTCGCGATCCGTATTTGCCCGTTGGAGAACCCGAAGGAACCACCGTCTAGCAACGATATAGATAATGTGGTCGCCTGCCTTGAACAACAAATAGTGAGTCTATATCTTCTTGATAACTGCACGCGGTTACCAATGCAACCTAATCGCATTTTTATAAATTAATTCTTATCGCTTGGCCAACAGGAAATACTGCTGGCGACGGTGGAGCATAAAGAAACATTTGTAAAGTTAGTGTCGGAGAACGATTCGTTGCATTTAGTTGAGATGCCGGATTGGGCAGGCCTAGGCGGCGTTCGCTATGCTCCTCCTACCTGGATCCACGTGATGACGGACCAGGCGAAAGACGAATTGAATAGATTAAATACGCAATTGGTCGAAGCTTTACGAAGCACAGATGCAGCGTTTTCTTTGGGAGAAGGTGGCGATGGTTTGGCCTGCGTGCGATTCGGAATGGTTACACAGGAGACAGGTAACTGTCGACCTTGAGTTATATTCCCAAATGCGTGGCACGAGAAATTTTAACTGCTTGCTTTCACAGATGTAGCCGAGCTACTATCCTTAGTCTTAAAAGTCGGTCAGGAAGTGGAGGCTAGCTCCAAGCTGTTGGAAACAATATCCGAGGTGGTGAAACGTGGCATCGAGGCAGCTCAGACAGATTTAGAGAGGGAAAACGCGGAGAAAATGTGGCAGGAAGGTATATTGAGGCATGTGCCTGTGGTAGGAACCTTCGTAAATTGGTGGAGCCCTCCTTCGAAGGAAACTGGAGTTCGTGGACGTAGTTTGAATCTCCAAGCTGGTAGATATCCTGCTCTAATGCAATATAGAAACTGTACGTCCAATCGACTAAAATATTTGTTCCGATTGTAGGGGTTGTTGAAAGCACAGAGAACATATACAAGTACCACATGCAGTTGCAGCCCAATACTACGGTGATAAATGGATCCGGTGCTAGAACTCCCCCGCAGCCTTTAGTACAGACCCCGGTCGGTGCCGGGAGTCAAAGCCACAGTCGGTCGTCGAGTCATTCCAGTTTGCAAAGCGGCAAAAGTATTTCTGTGATCACGAACGCCGTCTCCCACCCGCAGGTGAAAGAGGAATCCGGCGAAGTGAAGTCGTAGTAAACATGAAACGATACCGTTGATCGACAGAAATTCACAGCCAAGTCCGAGTGGGCTCGACGGCTGACAAATAACTACGGACGAAACGGTCGAACGTTTTCCTGCAGACGCTAACAGTTTACACTCGCAGAGCAAAGCATTAGTCCCTAAAGCATGCGTCGAAGAGCTTGGTAACTCGATCGAGGTAAACACGCCATTACTTTGTCATTCTATTCTGAATAAAGTATTTTACGTTATTTCTTCATCATGTCCCATCGACCGCATTCTTCTCTCTTCACCTGTTTCAATTCGAGGCTCTAGTTTCTGAAAGCTCTGGTCTGACGAATGTGGCTTGTGTACTTATTAGACTGATGCAACAAGCAAAAGCATTCTGGACTCGATAAGAAGTATCTCAATACTGTCTATCGTTCGAATATCTCTTGCAGCAGAATAGGCAGTGATTTGTTATGCTGGTAGACTGTGGATGTTCCAGAGGGCAAACATTTTTATATTGTTTATACTGTTAATTTTCGTTCGGGCCCAATTTTTGTATTTTATAAGATTAGGTACTAAACAGAAAAATGGTTTCCTCTAATAGGAACCTAATTAAATAAGAAAGGAGATAAAACTTTGGTTGATCCAAATGGAAATCTTCGTTTAAAGGTTCTATTTTATTTGATTATGTACATAAGTAGATTTGAACATCTACAGTCTGTTCGTCAAGCTAATATCTTGATACAATCTTGAAAGTCAATGACTTTGACCTTCGTCAATTCAGTGAATAACAACAGTTTATTAATGAAAATGAGAAGTATAACGAAGTGACTAAGTTTCCAGCAATAGAACTTTACGCTTCATTAAGTGCACACGTGTCTTCGAGTAAGTTTTACAAAATTACTCGCTCTTTCCACGGTTGGTTATTTTTTTCCTCAACAAAAGCCTTCGTTCAAAACGATAACGTACACACACGAATTTTATTCTCTCCTAAAGCACAACGTATGAATGGTTGCGACAAGACAAAAAAAAAATTGTGATTGCATGGAGCATATTATGCGACGTCGTTACGAGCGTTGAAATTGGTTCGAAATCTTTTTGACAGAACAAAAAAAAAAGAAAAAATACGATACTGGTTGAATGAAGAACAATGTTCGGAAATCGAAGTAACAACTAACCAAAGAGACACTTGCAAGATTACTGCAAAGCATTTGGGGCATCGAATCGGTCCAAACACTGTGCAGTTCGATTGTTAGATCTACGGCAAGAATTGTTGCTATTTAATGGTATGTAATTTACATGGAACTCTTCCATCAAATTTAAACAACACTGATAAAATGTTCGCATTATCATAGTACTCGGTAAACTGTTGACAGATACAATTAAGTAAACAAAAAAGAAATTAAGCTGTATGTATATTTATGTACCAAACTGTTGTAATAAAGTATTACATCAAATAAAATAATTCATGTGTAAGCCGGCATTGTTTTCATATTTCTGCTAAATATTTTTCTTACTTTATATCAATATTACAAGGGTCAATTTGAATTCAAATCATTTGTACATGCGCACTTACGAATCTGAGTCATTGGTAACGTTAGGGGCAGCACAGATATGAAAATACTTGCGATTCTAAGATATTTTCGGGGTTCCGAAGAAATTCGAAAGAATCCTATAACTCGATAACTTTGCGCTACCAACATTGATAGTTTCTCTCTCACACGAATTAATTAACACGTTGAATGCCACGCCGGTTTTACAGAAATTGTCCGTGGCGCCACGATGAATTTTCTTTTATGTGATACGTATAATGCTGAAATATTATCTGCAATAGATAAGTTACAGCGTACAACCATGTTTGACATGTTAATTGCGACAAGGGTCACTGACGATGGTGATAATACAAAATGAATTGACGATGGTGATAATACAAAATTTTAGATATTGACATTTGTTTGAAATTAGATATATTTCTATCAATTTGGGCGCGCCGGTCACCGGTGGCCCCCATGGCGTCACCGCCAAGTTAAGTGCCGGTCACCGGTGACCCCCGTGGCATTCAACGTGTTAACGTGACCATATTCATATATAATTATATATCACGTTATATCATATATAACGTGACCATCATTTCGACTGCAAGCGGTTATACTTACGTAGATCAATTAACTTAAATAACGTCGACAAATAAAGACGTGGTTCCATTCGATACCTGAAAAATTTGCGGATCAATCTTTCGGGGTAGTTGCATCAAATAAAATCGATCGTGTCTCCTTACACTCCTCTCTGTCTTTAATTTATACCGCTGATAATTAGCAATAGAGTTGCAGTACAATTATCGGAGAAAGACGGTGAATTTTCATCCCTCTATATTAAGAAACGAGACATACAAAAGAGAACAAATTTGAGCCGCGTCGAAACGAAATTTGGCAAGAGATCCCCGTGTTCATTCGTAAATTACGCTTGGACAAAGTCGAACGTATACAAAAAAAGAAAAAAAAAGGAAAAGAAAAGAAAAACGGAAAAAGCTTTGTTAGTTACTGACTAGGATGTATCCTCCTCTTTCGATCAGTTGAAAAGTGATGACGTTCGAACTCTTCGTCCCTCCCCCCCTCCTCTCGCACCCCTCCTCCGCGACAATCGAACCCTTACGAATTACAATTAATTCGATTAACGGCTAGAACTAAGTGTGTTTTCGCTATTCTATTATATGCGCTATGACCGCACTTATTATTTCTTGTTTCTTTTATAATAAATATTACAACTATGTACAACGGGATCAAAACGTTCACGCCTACGGTCGAAGAGAGTTGTTTCGTTTCTCCTCGAGAGAAAGTCGACGAGTTACGTACAGAAGGACTGAACCTATCAACCGGGGACGACGAGCTGGTTCGTCCTTCGTTTCACAGTAATGTTTCTCATCTCTTATTTATTTAGATAAAGATTTCTCTTCGTTCTATCGTACTGTACCACTCCTAGCAGAAAATGATCGACACAGAAATTATAAAACATTCCAGACACATGACTAAGACGATGATAGAGATAGCGAAAGACAAGCCTGTTTATTCCTTAACTTGTCTTCTTCGACTCAAGATCGCGCGAAGGTCATATGATATTGTAGGTCGTTAGATTGGTCACTATTTACGCGGCGATGACAAAAATACATATTCCCATTTAAAAAGACATCGATAACGTTGACGAAATTCTTTCATTATTAGGCGCTTGATTTTCGATCAAAGATTTTTTGCTAGACGTGATAACATTGATAACAGCGTTTCATCGAGCTTATTATTGCAGGTTGGATCGTTTCCGGTTGCTGGTTCGTCTTCGACCGTGTTCCAGTGGTAGTTAAAATTTATGAAACCACCCGGTTAACAGGTCAAACACGTTATCATCATCATGATCGTGATCCTATCGGCGCGAAAGGATACGAACGTATCTACCTTTCTCTTCTTCTTTCTCGAACGTGTCAGGCGAAGAAACCGTGAAAACGAAACGGTAGAGGAGAACAATACTCGTATCTCAATGAAGTTTTTAACATTTAAATTCAAAGTTTGATATATAATCACTCTCGCACATTTGTTCTAGTTTATTAACATGCTTCTGTCCATGCACTCTTTCTTCTCATTCTCTTTCGTTCTCTCTATTTACACACTCGATGAATAGGATGCGGAATATAAAGCCGTCCGCTGCTTTCGTTGCAAATGGTATCTTCATTGAATGATCGTTGGGGCCTTTGACAGGTCGTACAGGAAGACTTTGCGCTCCGCAAATAATTCAATCTTGGACTCCTATATCCATTTACTTTTGGGCACGACATCCTAGGCTTTAAGGGAACCTCCACGTCGGTGAGAATAGCATAGTTTCAGGGGAAAAAAATGCAAAATACAATTCACACGTTCGTCCTCTTTCACTTTAAATGCTCTTTCATGTTCCAATTTTAACACTTTGCTCAACAGTTGTTCAACCAGCCTTCGCGAACAAAAAAATAGTTTATTAAAAATTTCTTAATAAATGGCTAAGCTTCTTTTAAACGAAGCACAGTCACAGAGGCCATTCGTTTTGCTAACAATATTGAAAAATTGGTTAAAAAATATTAAGTTGTCGTCGGGCAAAATGTTAGCAAGAACTTGAATTCTCACTGACTTTGCTCATCGAGGAGAACTAAATTCTATCAACGTGTTCTCCGAAGAAAAGAAAAACGTTCTATAAAATGCTTAGCTGGATAGTCATCGATTAGACCAGACGATCGTAGAACATTTCCGGTCATTTACAAGTGAAATGATGAGAACGTGACCCCTGCACTTTCACCGTGTTTTGTACTTAAAACGTATGCCTGTCTGAGTGTCGACGAAGATCGCTGAAATTTTTCCTAGAATCCACGATCCTTCGGATCCTTCGATCCGCGAAACGGTTGTAAAGAATTATTGTTTTGTCATCGTTACATGGGTCGGAGAGTACTTTTTCATTTTCTTTTTGTAAAAATTCCTCGGACGCTCGACGTCTCTAAATTTAAATATTAACGCTGATAAATATACATCTATTTATATATATATCACTCGTTCTGTGTTTTCGTGCGGTAACTTCTTATATGTATAGTATGTATAATATACATATGTATACATATATAATATATATGCATAAGATATATGTATATATACATATATATCAAGTATATTCCTCGCAGAGACATGTAAAGTGTATATGTACTCAAACGTTTTGCACAGACAAATTAATGAAAATCTCGTTTGCGCGATTCCTTCACTTGGTAAAAGTGTAAAAAAGTATATAAAAATCGTTTTCGTGGCAGGAACGAGTAAAATCGTTTCTCCGTTATAAAAATTGCATTACAAGCTGTTGAAATGATCCATGAAACCTTTCGTGTAACAACTGAAACGGAAACTAAAAAATCTTAATTACAAAATTAGGCAATGTTTCATTTCAGAAAACCGAACCTTCGCATTTTCTTTAATTAACGTTCGTAGAAAATTTAACTCGTTCCTGGTCTGTGGTAATTACGTATCGCGTTATCTGTGGTTTCGTGTTCTCGTGTAAATATATCGATTAAAAATTCAACCCCCTACAGAGCGGTACAACAATATCACTCGATATCAAAATGAACGCAAATCGACTATACGTATAGGAATGGAGTTTGTATGAAAAAGTACAAGTATTAACAACCTTAGAAAACTAATCAAAGGGACAGTAGTAGGCCGACAGAAGTAGAATCACTTAATGATAATTCTAGAAAGAATGCTGGGAAACTATCAACATCCTTTAAGAACGGCTCATAAAGGGTTAAAACTGTTTCCGTGTATATCTCGCTAAGTTTGAGATCTCCCTGGGGTGAGAAAATGGTGGTCCGCCATTTCAGCCCATTAGGCGCCATTAAAGCCTCGCCTCGCGACTTTAATGTTTAATCTGTCGAAAACTATGCGAGCTACGAAGCTGATACTTTGCAAAGACGCAGAACTCGATGGCATCAACCTAAAGCGCTAGAAATTGTTTACTTAAAACGAGCTCGTCGTTCGATAACTTCGACTATAATTAGCTAACAGGAGATCTCCCACCGGAATACGTTCAAACATGGCGAGCTACACACTCGATAGGCAATCTAGACGCTAGACCTTGTGCATCCTCTCTCGTGTTCATAGTCTTGAAAACTGAGAAACTAACAAGCAATAAATACAACGACGACGATTCTTCTCTAATTAATCCAGCCTTCCGTTTGTTTCATCGTTCGCGTGCCTCTTAGTCGAGAAGCAACGATCATTTACAGAATACAGGCTAACATAAAATGATATAATCACTGTACACGATATACAAGTACAAAATCTCGGATATACAAGACCCTCTTCTTCGAGATATCACGCGTAGTATTCTCACTCTAACTTTCTTTCTCATTCTGTTTCTCTTTTCTTCGCACATTCCTGTGAACGATGACAAGAAGAAGGTTCGTTCTATTTACTCTCAATATTTCCACAGAAAATTTCCATACAATATCATTAATCTAAACGTGTTTCGGTTATCAATAGCTAATGAACTCCTGCTCATTCTCGGCGACTTCACGCGAATTTTTACAAACGCAAAATCCTTCGCCTCGACAAGCTCTCCAAAAGCATCTTTCGCCCCCATTTTTCCTCTCACATCACCCGCAGACCTCGTTTCTGTCGCCTCTCATTACCGTACCCGATGAAATTCGAGAACGTTGCCAAAAAGCAACCGGATTCCTCCATTTTGATTGGGAAAAACAGTTGGGAACAGCTCCCAACGGTGCGCAATCTTTCTATAAAAGTTGAGACGTGTCGACGCACGCCTTTGGATCCTCCCCAAGATTTCTCCAAGAAAATCGCGGAGGCGCGTAAATCACCTTGTCCATCTCCCTGAATCGTATAAAACCCCGAAATTTCGTAAACTTACGTTTAAACGTATATAAATCCCACCATATCAAAAAGTTTTACCAAACGATAATTGAGCTTTTTTTCGGGTATATCTTATAAAAAACCGAAATGCATATTAAAAATACGCACGAAAATCGTAAAAAAGGTGTGAAACACGGCTTTCGATGAACTTTTTTTCGAATGTGATGATATCGTTGGCGTGGGTCCATGAAATCCTTGAAACTTGTACGAACACATTATCTCACGAGCAAAATATTCAACTGTTCCAAAAGTAAAATAATAATTCCTCGATCTTGAAAACTAAAATTTCTAATTGGACGTTGAAACGACTCTCTTTAAACTAAAAATATTTCACATAATTCGAGAAGTATGAAAGAAAAATTTGTTTTAATTAAAGTTTTCGCATCTTGTAATTTCAAAGTAGACAGGCTAGTCCGAAGGACTAAGAACGGAAGCTTCATGGACCCTAATTACAGCGCGGCAGTTTACACGGTTAGGTGGCCTGATTACAGTTCCGTGACAGCGTACAAGTTAGGGTCGCTGCCCTGTACTTGGCTCAGCGTGGCCACTGTCGGCTTGTTATCTTGCCTGGACTGTGCCCGATTGTACGTTCCGTACATGTTCGGGACTGCGCTGCCTTGCGCGGCACCATTGAACTGATTCCTGGTGAAATTCCTGTCCAACGTCCGGACCTGGTCCTGCATCTGGTCCTGGATGCGGATGTTCGGAGCTTTGTTGCGCACCAACGACCGAAACTGATTCATGTTTGTCTGGGAGCGCGACTCGAATTCCCATGTCGGCTGGTTGCTCGGATTTGGGGGCAGGGGACGATTCTGGTTCCAGGCCGGGGTCGGACCTCTCTTCAAGTTCGCTAGATTCTTCGGGTCCAGCGTCTGCGTCTTTCGGGAGTCCTGGAACGTGGCCAGGTGCGCGGGTCCATGCGAATTGTGAGACAGGGTTCCGGTGAAAGACGCCACGCTCGGGGTCCAAGGTGGTTCTCTACCTGCAATCCGATGTTCACGGATCGATTAGACATCTTCTAATTATTGGGTTGGGGCATAAATTCGTAGCGTTTTTATATTTCCTCTTATTTTGCAACGATTTTTTGCTGTTTGACAAAGTGTATAATATTCATTCGATAGAGCTCTTTCTGCTCTACAAAACTGTGCTAATCGTCTTTTTGAGTAATTTAATTTTTTATTACTTTTGAGGCTTCGAAATGGAATATCCAGGAGGTAAAAAGCAACATTTTCGACACCTTCTCTTCTTCGCTTTTCATCGAAGCCAAAAAGCTGCTGAAGCAGCCCGAGACATTTGCAACGTATACGGAGAAGGTGTCATAGGCGAGTCTACAGCACGGAAATGGTTTGCGAAGTTAAAAAATGACGATTTTGACGTCGACGACACGCCCCACAGCGGAAGACCTTCTGAATTCGAATTTAACCCAGGCTCCCAATTTTTCGGCAAATTCCATTGAATGAAGATGATTGAGAATCGTTTTATGATCGCAGTTCATTCTTTCGGCCAATTCACGACTTGTTTGGTGACCGTCCTTCTTCAAAAGTGCTTTGAGACGCTCTTCGTCGAATTCGGAAGGTCTTCCGCTGCGGAGCGTGTCGTCAATGTGAAAATCGCCATTTTTGAACTTCGCAAACCATTTCTGTGCTGTAGACTCGCCTATGACACCTTCTCC